ACCTTGTGCCCTAGCCCTACTTGCGTCTGGAGGCGGGCTCTGAGCATCTCGAGCACGTACGGGATGCCCTTGGGCTGCTTGCGCCGGGACCGGCGCGGACGACGCTTTGGTAGCTCAATCCACGCGAGTGCGCGCGCAAGGCCGTTGGTTTTGCAGAGATGCGTCACGCGCCACTGCAACACGTGAACCGGCATCGCCGCTACGAGGACGCGGTAGCGTCGGCGGTACACACAGCGCAGCACCAGTGCCTTGAAAGGGCCCCAGCGCGGCAACGCCGCACTCAGCTGTGCTCGCCGCTTGGCCGCGACAGCAGCCGGCACTTGCTCGAGCACGGGCTGTAGCGCCCGCATAAAGCAAACTCTGCGAAATGCTGATAGAAGACGCTTCAAGGTGCGCTGAAGCAGCCGCGATGTGCGCAAGACCGCGCGGATGCGTTCGTGCCGGGCGGAAGCTATGGTATGAAGGATGGACGGTACAATCGTCGACGAAAAGAGGCGGCGCAAGTGCTCTTGGCGCCAGCCATTGACGAGCGCGGGGAGGCGGCCGAGCACGCTGCGGCTGTAGCGTCGGCGGTAGACGTACTGCAGTAGTTTCTGGCGTACCGGCCACGTCGCTGGCTGCGCGAGACGGTGCTGGATGCGAGCGACCTTGGTTGCGAGAACGCAAGCCGTCAGCTGCGGCAGCACGAGGCAGCGCATGCGCCGGCGGTGCACGCAGCCAAGCAAGAAGGTGAGAACGCGCCGAAAGCTGGCGATGATTGGAGGTGTAAGAAGTGTGCGACGGCGCAGCGCATCGACTTCGTCGAGCCAGTTGAACGAGGTACCGCAAAAGCAGAGCATCGAGTCGCAGCCGTCGCCCTTGACCAGGTACAAAAAGCATTGCGGGCATTGCGCCATGTCGACGGTCTTGGCCGCGTTCTTGCGACACGAGATGCCCTTGTGATGCCCCGCAGTCTTGCACAGAAAGCACACGGGGTGGTGGCAGCACGACGTGACGGTGAACGGGTCCTTCTGTCGCCACGCGAGGAAGAGGCAGGCGCGCCGCTGTGGGTCAAAGATGCGTGCGAGAAGCGCGGACAGCAGCACGTCGAGGGGCATCGCATCTTGTGCTTGCACGACGGCGAAAAAGGCCGGCGCCGAGAGGCGGTAGCTGCAATAGGCCACCAACGGCAGAACGAACGGCTGCAACGTACTCGGGAAGAGCGCCACGAGCTGTTGCTCGGACGCGATCGTGGCCAAGTGCTCGATCGTCTCGCTGTGTACGTCGGGCAAAAGCACGTAGGTATCGTCGCAGATCGGGCACCGAATCTCGCACGACGCTTCGACCGAGTCGCGGATCGATCCGACGGCGTCCTCGCCGACGCTGTCGAGCACGCGGAAGAGGTTCATTGGCACGATGCAGATCGGGCATTTGAGCGTCGAGACGACGCCGTGGAGAATCGACGCGATGTGAACCTCAATGTACCGCTGGAAGCATGCGGCGCAGACCATGCCCATGCACGTCTCGGAGCACAGCTTGCGCAGCATTGGCCCTTGGATCGCATCGAGGCAGATGGCGCACGTCGTCGGGAAGAGGTCCATGGAGGGCGCGCCCGGCTTGGTCGACGGAATTGTCGATGGCACGAGCGCCAGCACCGCGCTGCCCGCCGGAGCCATCCTTCGGCCCTTCCGCTTGCTCGAAAATGGAAAAGATCCGCGTGGACCAGGACCATCACTCGCGTAGCATATCCGGATTCTCATCCGGATAACACCAACCGAACCATCCGCTTGTCCTGTCGCCCGACGACAACCAGCGCTCCTGCTTGCGTACAGTCTAGCTTTGAGATAACTAGATCTTTGCTGATAGACAATATTGTCCACTGCGGCATCAGTGCTCTCTCTGGCTCCTGAAGCTTGCTTACGTCTCTAGCTGTGACCCCGACCCCTAACCCAATGGAGTTGACAGCACTTGACGAGCTCGATCAAAGTAGAATCAGTCAGAGTCCATGCAGTTATATCAACGTCCCAGGACCCGTTCCGTCAACACTCTAGTAGACTGCGCTACGAGGTGCTACACCGACGCAAACGCGATACGAACTTCCTCTTCCTTGGCGTCCTTGGTCGATGCAGCGAGGAGCGACTCGCGGCGACGCTTCTCAAGCGTGGCCGGTGTTCGGTTGAGCACCATCGCGTGCAAGTGCGCTTGGAACTCGACGCGCGCGAGCTTGAGGCAGCGTGCATACTCGGTCTCGACGGTGGCCGTCACGTCACTCACGTACGCGCCTTCGGCGAGCACGAGGCTGTTGGCGCCAAGAATGCCCCAGAGCCCAAGCGTCTCTAGCGCACCAGACGGTGATCACACCACAACGCAGCTGTTTCTACCTGTGGCGCTCGCACTGGCGGCTCGCAAGCGACCGTCCAGGACGATGAGGCAGTGCGACGCCGTGCTCCCGAGCGTCACGACCGTGTCCCCGCGCGTGTGGTACTCGATCACGGGGCTCATCTCCAAGAGCGTCGCGAGCCGCGCCGGCGTCATTGGTTTGCCGGTGGCATCGGGCAGTGCAAACACGGCGTGCTTGGTGGCCAAGTGCTGGGCGAGCGCCATGGCCTATCGCCCAATGGCATCCGCTACTGGCACAGGGTTCGCTCTACCTCGGCCGCGTTGATAAATTTGGTCGACGCCGCCTGCATCTCGTAGCGGACGCTCGTGTCAAAGCTCGGCCGGTTCAGCATGCGATTCCGACGCGCGATATCCGCGTCTACCACAGCCGCTCCCGCACCAGCCAACAACTAGAGTGACGCAGTACCCAGAACGTCGTTCTCATCGTAAATGTCGTCTTGCAGGATCTCTTCGACAATGTCTTCCAGCGTGACGACGCCTTTGGTCTCGTAGTACGGGTCGCCCTAGCATGTCGTTCGCGTTATTACTAAAGATCGTGTGGCGTCAACAAAGCTCCTACCGGTCCATCGCTGTTGACGGCATGAACCACGGCCAAGTGCGTGCGACCCATCTTGAAGGCGCGGAGGACGTCGGCGAGCGGCGACTCGGGCCACACGCGGTGGACGGTGCGGCCAAAGATATGCACGAAATGCAACAGCGGCGTTTCCTCCTACAGACAACTTGTCCATATTCGTCATTTCGGTACTTCAACTATACCATCGGGTCGACAAAAATGAGATCTTTGACGAGCACGACGCCGATGATGTCGTTGATGTCGCGGGTCCAGACTGGAATGCGGCTGAAGCCCGACTGGTACATCTCTTCGAGGACGTCGCGCGTGAGGAGCGTCGACGATGACAGCGTGTACACGGACCCAATCGGCGTCATCACGCGTGCGACCGGCGTCGCCTTGTACTGCAGCGCGCCCTTCATGATGTTGATCTCGTCTGCGTCCAGCATCTTTTGTTTGAGATGAAGGTCGAGCATCTTGGTGAGCTACAGTAGCACGTCGGCTATGAGGCTAGGACACACTCTGGAGCGGGTACATACCTCGCATTTGGTAAAGTACGTGCCCATGTCCTTTCCGACGAGCCAGTCGAGGGCTACTGCAATGGGCTTGGCGAAGACGTAGAAGAGCGCAATGATGACGCGGACCACGGGCAGCGTCTTGGCCCCAATGGCTGCCGACAGGTGAGATCAGCTATCTACACGGTAGAGAGCGCTACCGAGCGGGTGCTTGGAGCAAAAGGCCTGCGGGATGAGCTCGCCAAAGATGACGAGGACGACTGTCGTGACGAGAAAGCCGAGGAGCCCTACGGTGCGACATTGGTAAATGAGGAAAAAGACTGAAGGTACCCGAGGTCATGTCGGCCATGACGATGGCCATGATCGAGTTGACAGCCACGTTCCCAAAGAGCAGCGTCGTCAACAAGAGGTGGCCGTCGTTGCGAATGGGCTGGATGCGGCGCGCGTACGCTGCGTTCTTCTTCTCTTCACAAGTCGCATGCTTGTCGTCGCCCGTCGCAATCACAATGTCGAGGCCGACCTTGTCGAGCGACATGAGGCCGAGCGTGAGGCCCGAGAAGGTCGCCGCGAGCACGACGAGGAGCACGACGCCGCCGATGCGCAGCGCCCACTCGGCGTCGGTCCAAGCCACGCTGCTGCTCACGTCGCCGCTGCCGCCATGGCCGGTCATATCTTTCTGCTCGAAACCGATATGGGCGATCCAGCAGCTAAAACCACCCAACTAGAAACCTCCCGCTTGTAGTAGAGTGTGGCCGTTACCATCAGCGACACACCAACAGACAATACTTCAAGTCGCCTACCCCTCGTGCATGCATATGAAAATTGGCAAAAATGGCGCCAACGGCTCGGCTTGCGCGAGCATAGTACCGTCCGGTGGCATCTGGAGCACTGCGCCACCCAAACCGCAGGCCGAGATGTGGCCGAAACGCCTCGGACCGACGTGGCTAAAATCACCCAATTGAAACTTGCGCCAACTACGTGGCGACAGGTAGCGACGACCCGCAACGACACCGTTCTGAAGCCATCGATGGTGCCTCCACCAGCAATGCATAAGTATATGCATCGTACATGAGCCAAGACGCGTCGCATTTTTGTTATAGTACAAAGACTACTAGGTACTACGACGAGACGGCGTGTCCACACCTGCCACGTGGTGGAGTGAAAAGTTTGGCAAGCTGCCAGGTTGTCTGGATCTCTGCGTCAACTGCCGTCCAGCGGACTGCGCCGCAACGCCATCGGCGTGTAGTACCCTGTCGGATTCGAGTACTTTTAGTACTTTAGTCGCAACGCGAGTACTCTAGTAGAAGTCGCGTGCCGACGCCGCGACCGATGGCTGTCGGCAAACTAGACGCGGTGGTCGGTGGCGCCAGTATGCATTTTCAGAGGTTTATCCGGCGTCCGGATAACGGAGGGCCACAGCGACAGCTTAGTTGCAAACTGCCAGAGTCGTCGTCACTAGTCGGACCATGGTCATGCTGAGGTCCTTGGCGAGCCTCGCGCTTCTGGCGACGAGCAGCCTCGTGGATGCTGCCTTCTACGTGCCGGGCGTGGCCCCCGAGAGCTGGGAGGAGGGCGCGGCCCTGCCTCTGAACGTCAACAAGATCACGTCGGTCAAGACGCTCGTGCCGTACGAGTACTACTACCTGCCGTTCTGCGCGCCGAGCGCGCCGGAAGAGCAGCAAGAGAACCTCGGCGAAATCATGTCGGGCGACGCCATCATGAACTCGATGTACAGCCTGCACATGCACAAGGACGTGCGCTGCCAGATTCTTTGCAAGCCGATGCACTACACGGCCGAAGAGACGCAGCGCTTCATCGACATGATCGAAGACGAGTACTACGTGCAGTGGATCCTCGACAACCTCCCGGTGCTCTACCAAGACACGAGCTACGGCGAGGCGGCCGCGCCGATCAACAAGGACCCGAACGCGCCGCTCTCGGCCGCCTACAAGCGCGGCTTCCCGCTCGGCGACATTGACGCCCAAGGCCGCTACTACATTTACAACCACGTGCGCATCGTCGTCTTAACGCACCCGGACCCGTACGCCGAGCCCGCGACGCCCAAGTGGCGTGTCGTCGGCTTCGAGGTCGTGCCCACATCCATCAACCACCTCTTCAAGGGCTCGCCATCGAGCGGCGAAGAGCTCACGTCGGTACGCCCGATCCTCCATCTTTGAATCTTCCAACGACTCATGTACCATGCTATCATAGGACACGTGTGGCAAGTTTGTCGACATTGCCGAGGTCAGCGAGGGCCACCACGCGTACCTTGAGTCCAACTCGCCGTCGACGGTGCTCTACACGTACGACGTGCAGTACGTCAAGTCGGACATCACATGGGAGCAGCGCTGGGACCGTATTCTCTCCAGCCGCGCCTCGAACGACCAGATTCACTGGTTTTCGATCATCAACTCGCTCATGATTGTGCTCTTCCTCACGGGCATGATCGCCATGATCATGCTCCGGACGCTCCACCGCGATATCGCGCGCTACAACGAAGTCCAGACGTCGGAAGAAGCCGCGGAAGAAAGCGGCTGGAAGCTCGTGCACGCCGATGTGTTTCGCCCGCCGTCGTACTCGCCGATGCTCTTCTCGGTCTTTGTCGGCACAGGCGTCCAGGTCTGCTGCATGTCGGCGGCCACGATGGTGATTGCGCTCCTCGGCCTCCTCTCGCCGGCCAACCGCGGGTCGCTCCTCACGACGCTCTTGCTGCTCTTTGTCTTTATGGGGTCGTTTGCCGGCTACCACAGCTCGCGGACGTACAAGATGTTTCACGGCAAGGACTGGAAGCGCACGATGGTCTCGACGGCCGTCTTTTACCCGGGCTGCCTCTTTGGTGTCTTCTTCCTCCTCAACTTGGTGCTCTGGGCCAAGGCGTCGTCGCAGGCCGTGCCCTTTGGCACGCTCTTTGCGCTCCTCGTGCTCTGGTTTGGCATCTCTGTGCCGCTGGTCTGCCTCGGGTCGTACTTTGGCTTCAAGCGCCCGGCGATCGAGCACCCGGTCAAGACCAACCAGATTGCGCGCCAGATTCCCGAGCAAGTCTGGTACCTCTCGACGCCGTTTGCGATCATCGTCGGCGGCATCCTCCCGTTTGGCGCGGTCTTTATCGAGCTCTTCTTCATCATGTCGGCGCTCTGGTTGCACCAGATTTACTACGTGTTTGGCTTCCTCTTCCTCGTGCTGCTCATTCTCGTCGCGACGTGCGCCGAAGTGACGATCGTCATGTGCTACTTCCAGCTCTGCGCCGAGGACTACCACTGGTGGTGGCGCTCGTTCCTGACGTCGGGCAGCGCGGCCTTGTACTTGTTTTTGTACTCGTTCTTGTACTTCTTCTCGAAGCTCAACATTACCGCGTTCGTCTCGGGGCTGCTCTACTTTGGCTACATGGGCATGATCTCGCTCACGTTCTTCTTCCTCACGGGCACGATCGGGTACTTTGCCTGCTTTTGGTTCATCCGCAAGATCTACTCGTCCATCAAGATCGACTAGAAGCGTGAGACGACGACGTAAATGCTGTTTTTTCAAAGAAAGAACCGTGTACAAACCTCCACTTCAGCGTCAACTTTAGATTTCTACGTCCGAGAGCATCGCACCAACTGGAGGGCAACAACGCGACACGCGACGCCGAGCCCGTATTGAGCATCGTAGCAGAGAGGTGCTGGTTCACTGGGACTTCGGCCATCATACGTCAAAGTCTCGACCAAGTACAACTGACCTTGGTGACGCGCGGTACGACTGTATGACAGATCCATGACGTGTCTCGTCCCGTGCATCTTTAAACTCTGCCACTATCTACTACGAAAGACGATCCTGTCTGGCTGAGTGAGGATGGAGGCTAGCGGGGATGTCGCACTAGTACCTAGCAATTGGGGTCGCGACGACGCACCAAGGCGTGACTCAAGACAAGCGACGGACGTCACAACCACTTGATTCGTTTCTGAAATTACCAGCACTCACGCAGCGCACACATTCCGGCCGAGCCAAGAAATGCAATCTCAAACGTCATATTTCGTTTTGCTTAGTCCACAATGGCATTCAACACTGCGCTTCCTCCTCGTGACGCGGTGCACAGCGTCGCGCTCATGGTCGACGATGACAAAGTGCAGGCGGCGGCGCAACGCGAGGGCTTGCAGCTCACGTATATTTCGTGGGAAGACTGCGCCCGCTTTCAGAACAGTTGCTGGGGCCCGTGCATCTCGGACATGACGCTCGTCGTCCAAGACACGTGGATGCCCGTGCTCCGGGCGCCCAACTTTCAAGGTATCAAGCGCTTCAAGATGTTTTCTGATTTGTATTTTCTTATTTACTGATGGTGGTCTTCTAGATCC